ATCTTCTCCACTCCCCCTCCCTCCCTGTAATCTTCTCTTCTTCTCTACTCCCCTCCTCCAATCTCCCTCCCTCCCTGTAATCATTTCTACTCCCCCCCTCCCTGTAATCATCTCCACTCCTCCCTCCCTTTAATCTTTTCCACTCCCCACGGTAATCTTCTCCCCCCCCCTCCAATCTTCTCTACTCCCCCTTCCGCCCTGTAATCTTCTTCTCCTCACCTCCCCTTCCCTGTAGCGTGTGCACTTCCTGTCAGTCCGGCTGGATCGCAGATCGGAGAGGAGCTCGGCCACACTACAGGGAAGGGGAGGCAGTGTGGCAGCCGTCTATAGAGCGCTCAGGCGGCTGTGGCATTTAAAGGGCCGTCGATGGGGGCGCAGGGCACCCCCTCCTATATGGTGCCCTAGGTCTTTCAGCCAAATTTACTAAAGATTATTTAGTATTAGAAAATTATGCCACTAATTGCTGTACTGCGAGTAGAGGTATGTCTATTACTATTACTGTTAAAAAAAATTTTTTTTCAGAAAAAGGGTCCCCCTCCCGAGCCCCCACCCGTGACATGGTGACTTTTAAACCAAAGGGGGGCCTATTGCCCCCCCGGCCCCCACCCCTGAGCAGCGGGTGGGGCCCTAATTTAGAATAAGGGGGGCTATTGCCCCCCTCTGGCCCCCACCTCTGAGCGGCGGGTGGGGGCCCTAAAGTAAAATAATGGGGGGGACCTATTGTCCTCCCCCGACTCCCACCCCTGAGCGGCAGGTGGGGGCCCTAAAGTAAAATAATGGGGGGGACCTATTGTCCTCCCCCGACTCCCACCCCTGAGCGGCAGGTGAGGGCCCTAAAGTAAAATAATGGGGGGGTCCTATTGTCCTCCCCCCGGCCTCCAATTTAGGTCTTTCAACCTTTTAGTAGATAGCTCCCTAATACCGTGGGAATATATACAGCATATATCATATTTGCAATTAAATTGTGAGTTTTGTATTTTTTTCTTTTTCTTTATACAGTTTCAGATTGCCACCTGTCAGACATTTAGAGATGCATTATAAACTGTACATCATATTTGTCACTGAATAAAATGTTTGTTCTTTTATCTGTTATTTTGTTTCCTGACAGCCAGCTTACTAATTAATGCAATTGTCGGCATACAAAACACACAATCATAAGATCTCTATGGAGCTTCAAAGATATGTTCTACATTTTTACAATTTTTAAATACTAACCATCCCTGTTTCCATTGGTTGTATTCCATCACTTGGATGATGTTATATGAGATATAGTTGCATGATTGCACATTATCGCACACGGAAATAGAGGATTCCTGTATCATTAAACACAATGAAGTGGCAGTGATATCCTTTATAGTTTTGTCTCTATAACCACCTCGTAAGCCCATCGTAGGCCTTTAAGGTTACAGTTGCTCCTGCAATTAGATGAAGGAATCAGAGCTTTTGCAACGCCTGAATATTAAATCCCACGGGAAGACTATATGGCCTGCAGTTTAAAATACCTCTTTGCCCTTTTGTTGTCATGACTACTGCTTACATTTAAAGGGACTTGACATGGACACAGTAAACAAATTATTGTCACATGTCCAACTAACAGAGACTGGTGATCGGCCACATTAGTTTCAATGTTTTGTTTTCAGTCTTTTAAAAAGCATTTATTAGGCATGTGCATGGGAAATTTTTTCGGTTCGGTTCGGCTCGGCATTCCGAAATTCGTGACTTCGGCAATTCGATACTTCGGCAATTCGGCACTTCAACATTTCGGAACTTCGGCACTTCGACCTTTCGGCACTTCGGCACTTCGGAAATTCCAGAACTTCGGGACCTCTGCAATTCGGCACTTCGACACTTCAGAACTTCGGCAACTTTGGCACTTCGACACTTTGGGACTTCGGAATTTCGGAACTTCGGGACTTCTCTTGCAGCCGCTTGGTAGATAACTCCCTAATTCCCATGGAATTAGGGAGCTATCTACTAAAAGGCTGAAAGATCTATACTGCGAGTAGGGGCATGTCTATTAAACAGTGAGCAACCTGTGGCTGCTCACTGTTAAAAAAAAAAAAAAAATGGTCCCCCCTCCCGAGCCCCCACCTGTGACGCGCTAGTGGGGGCTTTTAAACTAAAGGGGGGCCTATTGCCCCCCCCAGCCCCCACCCCCGAGCGGCAGGTGGGGGCCCTAAAGTAAAATAATGGGGGGGACCTATTTTTTTTTTAAGTGCGTCGGTTATTATGGCTTTTTATTTGGCCTTTTTGGGGGCTGAAAAAAGAAGATTTTAGAAGAAAGAAAACATCAAATGGTAAGTTAATTTTTTTTTTTCAGGTACTTAGTTAAAGGGTCCCCCTCATTATTTTTAGGGTGAGGGTGGTAGGTAGGGGTTAATTTTTTGGGGGAGGGGGGTGACTAGGGATTTGGGGACCCCTAGTCACCCGGGGGAGGGGGGTTATTTCTTTTATTTAGGGCCCCCACCCGCCGCTCGGGGGTGGGGGCCAGAGGGAGGACATTAGGTCCCCCAATTAGTATTTAGGGCCCCCACCCACCGCTCAGGGGTGGGGGCCAGGGGGAGGACATTAGGTCCCCCCTCATTCTAATTTAGGGCCCCCACCCACCACTCAGGGGTGGGGGCCAGGAGGCAGGACATTAGGTCCCCCCCAATTAGTATTTAGGGCCCCCACCCACC